AGCAATCTAAGCATTTCATTAGGCAGACCAAATCACATTCAAATGTTACTACGATTTTGAATTAGAACAGAATGCATGGTGCATCCTAAGCATTAGTGACTACGCCGAGTGCATTTTCTGGATAATAGCTGATGTAGTTGATCACGCGCAAGCGTGAGATGGCACTTAAGCTATCGTCGGCATCGCTGGCGAAAGGCTCATAGTAGCGTGGGGTTTTTTTGACGAGATCTTAAGAGTGTCAAACACGCAACGAGTGGACGCACTTCGCACAAGTGCGACTTTTTGTAAATCGCGCAGGTTTTTCTTTCTTGAGGACTCCGATTAGGCGACATCCTTCCAGCTGCCTACCGCTATATTATACTCTTCTATCTCGCTCCCATTTACTCATTCTATTCTAGTCACCAGATCAGATCAGATGTTACCAGGAGTGTCCTGGTAAAAACCTTTTCGAAATGATTTGTCGAACTACGGTTCATATTGCCTCAGTTCATACAGCCTTCTGAATTCCAAAATTTCCAAAAATTGGTGGGAATATTCGTGCGCTACACCTTTCCACACCAGTTCATGCTGAAAACCTACTTTCTACTATTAATGAAAACTTACTTAAATGGGTAGCTGATAGTCCCTATGGCAATAAGGCATACATTACAAGCCACATGTACTATTCTGCGACATTATACAAGCGTCAGTCGAAAATGCAAAACTTGGTCACCAAAGGGAATCAAACCATGGACCAAACTTGGTCCCCTTTTTGGAGTTTAGAACGCCCCCGAAAAAAAAACGAAGCATAACTCTATGTTCGATGCACGTGCTAATTATTGTGCAGAAAACGGTTTAGTTAGAGCGCGGAATGACTTGAAAGACTTTAATGGTCAGAGCCATCAATCTGAAGGAGAACCAGTCCATACCCGGGTCCTTTGAGTTCACATAACTGCGGGTAGTTATCACGCGCCGAAGATTGAATCCTGTTCTGTAAACTCTCTAAGCCGACCAAGTTTTTCATCTCTTTGAGATGTGCTAATTGGTACCAGACTTGTCTGGGAGGACAAAACAGTTGATTCGTAGGCTGATGTATATCGACAGGCTCCCGCAAGTTATTGTACGGACCATGTATTCATTAAATATTGCTTTTGCTGCTTATTCATTTCATTTATTGCTGCCACATAGTCTACTGCAAATTCGTATTTATTCTTATTCGATCTTACAACCTAATGCTTCGTAATAGCTATGAGCAAATAAATCACATTCGAGATGTCACTGCGATTCGAATGAAAGTAGAAAGCATGGCGCGCTCCAAAAAAGGGTATAAAGCCGAATTTTTTATTTCCTTTTACCGAGCGCTCTAGGTCTGTCGTCATTGGTGCCGAAAGGCACACCGACGAAATCATCGGCATCTTATTACGAACACTAGCGAGACCACCTTGTCCCGTTAAATAAGCGATTAAGACTCACTAAAGTTTTACACACGCCACTGCAATGAGCCGCTAATGACTTGGGCAATATTTCATTTCATCCATCCAATCCTCACCTTTTTATTGGGCCATCATTTTACGCGCTAAAGACTGTACGAAGCGACCACTACTCAGCACAAGCCGCTTGCACGTGCCAAGTGCTCGACCAAGGACCGCACTCACAGTAGCATAATATATTCCGAATCCATTAATTCATTGTCAAAAATAATATATTCATACTCAATTAGGTCTGTCAAATCAATCCATGCTTTACAGTATTCGTTATATAGCTTTTTGTCTACCCCGGAGTGTTCTGTTGTTTCATCTGAACCACTTGGCGCAATCTTTCACAATTCGTTCTTCTCATCTGACCACTTCTGATGCGCTTAGCTATGGACACGTTTTCTAACCTTGCAACTGAGTACCTCCCAGTGTTCTCGCCCCACCATGAGGCGAGCACCTTCATTCGAAAATTAAGTCTAACGAGCACACCTTCTTATGCCTACACATTTCGTACGGCTACCATCTATGAAGCGCGACCATTCTCACCTAGAAACCCTATGCTAAGCTACAAACACCATAAATCACCCCGTCGCTGTGGCTTGAGAACCCTAGGACACGCTCATTATTGATGGGGAAGAATTTCTTATCTGACTTATGTGTTATATAGAATGCATAGAAATCTGCTTAGTATGCCTGGCTGCCTACTTCAGCACCTATTGAAGGGGAACCGTCATAACCTTAATCGTACAATGCACCATTTTTGAAGTACCATAGGTAAATCGCGGGTGTGGTACAAAGTATCACTGATAAACTTTCCGCTCGAGAACGGGATTGCCGGGATTTTCCGACCTGCCCGGGATTCGGGAGCTTAGAAACAGTGCCATGTCCTGTGTATACTCTTCCTGATAGCGTCAAGGTAGAAGTACATGAACGTTCCTCTCATAGAGTATAATGGGCTCTTCAGTTCAACTGGAGCAATAGCATTGGATCAGCACAAGATACCAAATAAATACCGTTTAACGTGGTACAAATAAACTTTTTTCATGCCGGCCGCACCCCACTGTTGTGCTACTGCTTTATGGTCAGATGTCCATAAACACTGTCTTTAGAGAAAGTCAACAGTTTGCTGCGTTCAACTTCAATCTTTTCACCTTAGGGTCGTCAAATTCCGCTCCCATTCTCATACGATGACCTGGTATGAGCCAAGTAACTTGAAACTGCTCTCAAAATATGGTACATATCAGCTTTTGGAAAAATTGGTAAAACTCATGCTTTCTACCACTGGACCACGAATGTCATGATCCAAGTTAGCGTATACTATTGTACCGGTCCCATTTCGCCACTTGAAATCCCTTTTCGCATTCCTTCAAGATAGCCCTTTTTTCCTCAAAAGGGGCACTTTGGGAGAACACAGAAATGAAGATTCAAACGAAGCCAGCTGTGCTGTGTTCGAGCTAGATCGTCCGGACCACAACAAAGAAATCGCTCTATCGGCGATGTCACTCTTGTCCTTCCAATCGCTTCTATTTTGGGGAAAAGAGAGTTTCTGGGACACTCCCGAACGCAGAAAGCATACCATCCCAGCCTGCGCTCCTCTGTTCTTTCAGATGGCTGTTTTTATGCCGTATTTCCTTTCAGCTAACAACTTCGCCATTTGTTTCAGATATGCTCAACAGACAGCATCACCTTTGATTATTATGAAACATCTGAATGCGGCTCTCATCGTTGAGTAACCGGTAACTTCCTATTTCCATGACATTCTATGGAACGATTGAATCTTCGGGCGGTTCTACGAGACCAAGCAGCTCCAACGACAACAAGCTCATGACTCCGATGACTCTGGTAGGTAAACCATTCGGACTCGGGTAGGTGATGCATCTTTTACCGATTATCGAAAAAAAAACTATCGGTATCGTTGGCTACTATGGACGGCCTTCATTCGTCACAATCCAACGATTTCTCCACAGACAATTCCAATTTACTGCAGACATTAGAAAGATTCAAACTATATTCCTAACCCAACATAATAATGACAAATTCTCTGGACCTAATGCAGTACCCTCCGTTCCAACATGCGACCCCTCGATTTCTTTGACGCTTCTGGCTACCTCCAACAATCACAATGCCCTATTCCACTGCTCCAACAAATCACCAAAAAGTGATGCATATAGATAATATTTGCACAGTAACATTTCAACAAAAATTTTCTGTAGCTTATCCAAAAAAAATCAAATAAGAGGATTCGCATCAGTTTTTCTGTAAATTCCCAAGCCACATCTATCGCTCCTCATTGAATGCCAACTGCATAACTTTATATAACCATGCTCTCCCACGGAATCATTTGGAAGCAAAGCAGAACCGCACAAAAATCGCAATGTAAAATTCGCTGTCGCACCGCTAAGATGAGGGTTTGCTGTAAGTTTGTGTAGACCCATATTGCAGGAAGATCCACTCCTACGGGATTTGAGGAGCCGATTCGAAATCAGGTTCCGCTGCTTTTCATACATGTGCCATAATCAATCGCTAACAAAGGGAGGTTTCAGGGAGTGGACCCAACCACACTGTGGAGCGCATTTTCGAAACTGTTGTTTGCATGCCATAGGGGCTAAAAAAGAAAAAGGACTACAAGGCTGGAGTTATTTTCGCCGAGCGGCTTATTGAAGGTCGTAAAAGAATTGAAAATATGCTGAGGCGTAATTTGCAGTGCGACCAGATTATGAAACCTTTACGAATGGCCTGCTCCTTGAATGAATATGACAGCCTATTGTGGCGCTACCTACTACTGAAAAAATATAGAACTTGAATCCTGATAATGCACTAAACTTGGCTGTCACTTATGGGGAATCAAGACCTTATATCATTCTCACGCACTTTCTTAGGACATCATGGCACGCTCAAGCCAAATGGCTTCGGTTTTGTGGTCACGCACAATTTCTCAATAAGATTCAATAAAGCTTGAAAAGTCCTCCACCCTTTGGAGAACCATACGTGGGGTAAAAAATGCAAGATTTCTTTACCTGCTACTTTATCAACTCATCACGGCCAATCACCTATCATGCCTAAATCCTTCTCATTCTGATGCTGCGCTGTGTTTGTAAAAAGAAAAAGCGAAAAAATTGTTTAAATCACATAAAAGCACCAGTTTACTATTCATCAGCTAGCTCTCGCGAGATCCTCCGCAATGGATGCATTCACAGTCCCATTCCATCAAGCACTAGAAGAGGTAATAGGGGTAGTTATAAGCTGCTCAGGTCGGCTCAGCGTTGCGCATAACACTTACCTAGCTTGCCGATTCCGCGAGGATGGTCGGTATACCCGTGTTTCGGGGTTTCGGTAAGCTTCTATGACCCCTAGTGGCGAGTGGGCATCATAGTCGACTGATGCAGGTCTGTGTTGTTCACATGTCTGGTATGCTGTTTCACTATCTACAAGTCTCTTTCGTGTGATCGGAATCTGGATCGTATAGGACTTTGAAATACCTCCTTTAATCTAACCTCTTTAAACCAGTCAAGAGATCCCCATCTACATTCCATGCTGAAGTAAAGAAGAACCGCTTGGCTTGCAAGCTCATACGTCTCTTCTTGTAGAAATCGCAGACAGCCTAGTGAACTCAACCTCAGGTCGCTGATTTATCACTGGTTTGTTACTGATATTTTTTGCAGTTTTGTAGGAAATTTTAACTTCATGATATTTTAATATATTCTCCTTCATATTTCCATTACGGCGTGGTTCAAGGCTTGCCGAACAGAAATACGAAATGGGTTGACCAGTGGCTGTCCTCTCATTCTGAAAGGTTTTTGGTAGACAAATGAAGCGATCTTAAAGGAGGAATTCACGATAAGAACGAAGGTAAAAGGAAGGGAAAATCGCCAAGTTGGGAGGAAGGCGGACATCCTGACGACGCGCAATTTTCGCGATAGCATTTACCCCTGAACGATCTAGTACATGGTCCTCTTCGTCTGCGGGTTGGCGGGGTACGCCCACCGACTCATCTCGTTACTGCGCCGCAATCTATATCCTTGCAGTGGTTAGATAGCAGAGAGAGCATAGTGTTGAAGAGGGCAACGCGATGAGAGTCGTGTCGATGCACAGATCAACAAAGAAGGGGTAACACTTTTTTAGTACTCTGACGTTTCAAACGGTTTCTTCTTCACCTCTGCTTCACGGACCTACCTCTACCCTTAATTTCATGAGCTAACCTTTCGTCGTAAATTATCCTTTCAGGCGCAAAAACTATATTTTTGCCACGTCATCGGCAAATTGAGATATTGTCAAAAATTATACTGCAAAGTTTCCAAGGGAATATCGTAGTTTATACCCCATCAGAAACTTGTGAAGGGAGGCATTCCCAGCAGGGCTGTTCCATGCCTGTCCAACTCCGACCATATTTTGATTTGCAGCGGAGAATTCTGTTCCCATTCTTAGTCACATGATTCGGCATCGAGAACGTCTTTGAAAATGAATAGCATTTCATTATGCATGAATGCGTCAAGTGCAAAATGCCAGATGGAGGAGTTTTGAAGACCTGAATAGCATTTCTCAAACGATAAGCGTCAAACATATTGCGACCGAAACCTTTGTTCAAATATCTCTTCAAACGAAACATACTGCTATTAAATATCGAATCAGGCCATATTCCGAACAATCTAACTGCCTAGTGCGCTCCTTCCTACAAAAAAACCGACACTTACTCTTCAAATTCCTTTTAAGGAACTTTGACAACTTTCTGCACACCATACAAAGTTTTTTTTATTCTGATAGGGAAGTAAAAAAACAACTATCATTCTGTTAACCAGTAAGTTACCCCATGACTGGGTCAAAATTTGGCTCACTTACAATCATGTCACTCTTTTCCCCCACTTTTTCGCGGCGTTTGTCTCAGTTATTCGTCGATACTTACGAGTCGGAACCACTCCATTGCTGCCGCTCTCGCTGCTCTTCTAGATTGGTGGTCCTGGTACTTTACGAATCACTTCAAAAGACCACCAGGAATAATGCACTCAAGTTTTTCCCTTCGTACTGTTGGCCTTGCCGTCCATCAGTTATGTATATCACTCGGCAAATTTTCAAATAGAAATGCTGGCATGGCTCTGAACATAACTACTTTTCCTCAGCTCACCGTTGGTTACACTCTTCTCTGTTGAGTTCTACTAGTAACTGAATGCTTCTTTTTTTTTTTCTGTGATCAGATGACTTCCTTCTTGATCAATAGTCCTTTTCCGAGAGAAGAATGATTCTACACTCAAGAGCCGTGTGGTATTACACCATCAAAATATTCAGCAGAACAAATTTGAAAAATCCCGCTGCTCATCCTTAAGTCTCAACTCGCAAACTAGTAGAGGTACTCTAATGAGCGATATTGGAGCTATACTATATGCTGTCTATGAACGTTCAAGCTTCGCTGCGGCTTCTTCTGATTTGTTTTGATGGTTTCCTTGCAATCTTTTCTTCTCTTTTAACTGCTGCATTGTTCATATTTTCAGGGCAGGAAAGAACATTAGACTAATTTGATGGCTTCTAGACTTTCGCACACAAGTGTGAAGTGATCGGCTCTGTTGTAACATGCGCAAAGTGTTCCATTCAGAATCGTAGAGGTATTTGAATGCATATTTGAGCTTTGCAAGGACTGATGCAGGTTAACTGACCTCCAAGTCAGTAGTCAAATGAATATAAGTCACTAGTTAACCCAGCCTCACAGAGGGCAATGGTAAGCGTAATAAAATCCGAAAGAACGTACAGAGATAAAAGGTTTGGGAACCTTGGAACGTTTTAGACTATCCAGAGCATGTTGGGATATCTCCCGGTCCCTACGACTTCCCTAGTATCCCTGCTCAAGTAAATTGAAGTAAAATGGAATTGTAACAAGTACTGTTTTATTGTTTGTTTCTAGAAACAACAAGCAGACGTCCGGTCGTCAGAACAACAACGTCAACAGTTGTTCGAACTACTCATCGCACCAGAATCACTACGTCTCCTACACCAACCCAACCCACAACAACTACGACTTTGCGAACTCTGCCACCGACGTCAACCCACAGACATCACGACTATGGTCTTTATGGCAGGCCACATCCCAGTAAGCATGCCGAGCATCCACATCGCCATCATCACACCGCCACCCCTCACCACAGAATATTTCCCTATTTTGTGAGTGGTTTGTTTCTTCTTGTTACATATTATACGGAGGTGGCCAAAAAAGAAACTCTGTATCGTATCTGCTTTGCTTTGCTCGTGACTCATATCAGCAAGCTTCAATTCGCACAGACGATGGGAGCAGATACGATACAGATACAATCCCCTGTTCACTGCCCTCACCGTCTTCAGAATATGACGTCATCTGTCACCGTCGTCGAGCTCAGGGAGGCCTACAGTAACTGCTTCAGCCTGAAGCTCTTACATAATTTCTTGGATCGATTCAACGTGGGATAGTTTCCTAGGGACATTAGCTCTAACTATGCAAACCCCCTCGGAACCCGCCCTTCGGAACCCGTCGTAACGGTACACGATCAGTCGAGAACCCCATTGAGCTCGACCAGAGCACCATGTTTCCGGGGCAAATTTTCTGATGCCGTCCACGTAGATGGCCACTATGAAGATTTTCTTATGAAATGAAATGCGCTCTTCAATTCTAAGTTGGAGCACACGCTTTGAGCTGAGCAAAGTGTGATTAAATCCATTTGAGTCTGGAGACAAAATGTCTTTTTTTATTGCCCCCCCCCCCCCCCCTGTATAGTATTTCCATAGAGAAGCTTAGACCAGCTTTTCATGTTATGAGTTCCACTTTACGGTTTATCTCTATGAATAGACTGAAATAGCGTTTCTCTTTCAGATTTCTTCAACGACTACCTCAACCGCTCCACCACGAATTCATATTACTACCAACAAGGTTTTCGTGAGTTTATGACTTGCAGCGTTTTCTGAAGGCAAAAAATTCTCACTAAAAAAAGGGAATACTCTGTTTAATCTTGTCTTTGTCTATCCCTCTCTGTCTAGCTGGTCTCTATCTGTTCTTCTCTGGTTATCTTGCCCTAGGATATCATTAACTGACATATCGCTGAAGATTTCATGGACATCTTGTTATCAAGCGCAAGGTGTCGCTTGTGCATAAAAAATATTTGTTCCAACGCTGCCTTATAGGCCTTATACACAAAGTACAGTAGCAACGCCGATGGTAAAAAAAGTACGAAATGGAATTGGAATTCGCATCCTTTTCGATTTTTGATAAGAACTTTTATTCACTTTCAAAGAAGCGTTCTACCAGGCTCAGCTCGTCGAGCATCGCAGTTCTATAACGCCATAAAATTTCGGAAATCTCTACTTTTCCAGTCCTGTTGTATCGAATTGCCTTAAAGCACTGCGAGTATTGCTCGCCACAGTGATGACTGGTACATTGGTGTGCAGAACTTGAGGACGAAGTCTAAATTTTCAGTGACGTGTTACTGACGCGTAACACAGCTCTATAGAACCTAACCACACATAGAAATCACTGCTACAGTAGAGTACAAAAAGCAGATACTGTTCGCGTAGAGTACGAAAAGCAAATGACAGGTCAAAAGGTCCACAAAGCCATCAGTCAGCTAGGATATTTCTTTTATCTCGTCTTTAGGATTTGCACACTGGTGTATGTACAAGGCTCTAGCTGAGTTCTTCAAATAGTGTCGATCATTCTGCTATAATTTTATCCCCATTTGGTTCAATTCCATCGAATCTATTTTCGCACATTCTCGTTTCCAAAACACAAAAAAAACGAACACACTCATCTGTGACCTTTTCTATTTTGGCGCACCTATGAACTATACGGACTTCGCCATGACTAAGGTGATCCATTAATCAATCCCTTCTGCCATCGACTTTATTCTTGAGTCTTAATTACGAGCAAAATTCACAGTTTTTCATACGAGAAACGCCCTTGAAAAACTTACGCGGTCCGACTGTTTGCAGTTGAGAGGTTCATCAACGCATCAAAGTCGCGTCAAAGCCCTAAGTCAGCAGATCAAGCCGCACTTTGAGTTGAACTTTAGTCCTCAGCAAATAGATACAGCCCTCAAATTCTTGCGATGCCCTTTGCGCAAAAACTTTTGTGCACACTCAATGATGGGAAACCAGTACTCACAACTCATCGATTTTTTCGAGTCCTAATCTACCCTACGTACGTAAGCTTCGATTATTTGAACGTCGCACTTTCGTGCTCGTATCCAAAGAGCGAATGGATGAAGAACGCGGGATTAATTTGTTAAGTTCAATAATTTCGAGGTAGATAGATCCCATTCCGATTGCTGATACACACATGATTTCAAAATGTCATGAAATATATATCCACGAAAAATTTGTCTTTTTTTGGAAAATAACGCTCAGTATGAGCTAAATAATGGTGTGTAAATCTCAACACACATCTTTCGATATTGAAACGGCTTACGGCGCTAATTCGAATGATGTGTTATTTGTTGTTTTTGACAAATAGTGCGGACAGTATCATATTTTTCTTACATTCGCATTACTGTTCGTATAATAATTCATAATAAATTCCATTAATATTGAATTTACTACTGAAATTTTTCTGTGAGTCCCGTTTGGTATGACGAGCACACGCCTATTAGGAAAGGTCTGTGGGAGGTATCTGCACGTTGAGAGGGCACAGACCCAGGTGGGGTTGGGGGGTTCGAATGCCTGCGGAGGGATGCAAGCGGAAACGGTCCTCGAGTGAGATGTGCCACGAGCCTGTGGAGATGGACCCTGCGACTTAACCTCCTATGAGAATTTCTCCAATGATCTATCGCGATCGGTGCATTCAATGATTTAAGCTCACATGGTTGCAGGCAAAGCCTCAGTGTATCCAAACTCCAATTTCAGGGCACGTGGGCGAGTTTAGTTGAGGCAATCGTCTCCCCCATAACATAGCATCTATTTGAAAACATTTCGTATCGCGAATTTTGTTGCTTCACTGTTAACAAAAAGAACGAATGCTGTTGACGTCATCAAGTTAGCACCCAAAATATCGGAATCCGTGAGCCAAGGGGTAGTGTAGCCAACTGAGGGGTTCGGTGGGTAGGGGGGGGGGTGAGACGAGTCACTTCACACGTGAAAAGCTCGAATGTGCGAGTTCACTATTTCCAATGAAACGGCACGAACATGCCGCGCGCCACGACGGGAACCCTTCTCCAAATCAAGTTAGCACCCTATTTCGTTTTGTTTGTTGTTTCAACATATGTAGCATGTTTTGACACGTCTCCTTTTATCAACAGTAACACGAACAGTCACGAAAGCCCCCCCCCCTTCTCCCATTGGACAAGAGAAACTTTACGCATTTCAAGACGGAACATCTTTTATTTTTGACAAACATGATACACAAGACACCACCTTTCCATCAATGACGCTCTTCCGTCGATAACGTTTCCAACTGCTCCCCGCCTCTCAGCAGCGCGACCGCTGCCTTTAAGTCGTTCTTACTCGAAGAATTTTTATTTATTTATCTATTTATTTTAATGGTCTTAATGGTGTTCCTTCAGCGTATTATATTCGCAGTGATATTAATGATGATATTTGGATAAGCGTTGCTTGCTTCAGATACCCGATCCTACCACCGATCGTTCTCGAATAGAAATCCACCTTCCGCATTCGAAAGAGACTGTTCGTCATGAGTTGCCAAGGTACGGGACTACCATTACACGTGCCCAAATTCTCCAGTCCTGCTCCTCCTCCTCCTCGGCCTCCTTTTCCTCCTCATCGTCCCACAACAACAACAACCACACCTACAACCACGTCCACTACGCCTCCATTAGAAAAGTGAGTTCGAACGCAGTAGAACTTTTCAAAAAATGTGATTTTTCATATTCAGAGATGACGTCACCATTGTCACTGCATTAATGGACATCGGGAGGGGCGAATGGGATCGCTATCGCCGTCCTCTCGAACAATACCATTTATTCATGGAGAACTTGCTGTCTCTTCAGAATTACATGGTAGGTAATTGTAATATTTCCTTAGCCGCGCTATTTCATGGGAAAAGAATGCATAGGAATAGAGCTGACAGCTGGGAAACGAAAGTTACTAGCAGCAGATGGTGGCTCACCACAAAATGCTGGGAATACAAGTTGTAATATCTTTCTATTTTTTTGTAATGTGTCTGAAACGAGTTCTGCCTAGCACCGACGACCTTAGGGTACATTTATGAAGCCATGATTAACTTTGGGACTTGCCTGAATTGCAGAAACGTGGAAGTTTGTTCGACTACTCGAGGAAACTTCGGTTCTCTCAGTAGCATTTCTAGTTGATCATAGACATTGTAGCAGTTCTGTTGTGCAAGCTGTATGCTCGCGTTTGAGAGAGGAGTTAGTGGGCGGTACATTACTGGATAGCACAATTTCATGCTCAGCGCCTAATCATTATTTAACCTACATGGAGGCGTTCTGAAGGGTTTGGTTGAAAGAAAGTGCTCAATTTGGAACCTCTACGCTTAAGGTTGAAGGGATTGATCAACGTAGTACACACTTTTTCATATTATTGTGAGAACCTTGTGTGGCAGCTACATGGCTTTTGATAGACTAGATTTCGAGAACTCCATCTTTTTTCTCAACATGTAGAGGTCACAAAGATGATACGTTCGTCTTGAGATACGCCATGTGTCCGATATCATTTTCATCGTAGTGGCACGAGAATCCATACATAAGTATATGTGCAGTTGTGTGGTAAGACGGTGGAACGGAATAAAAGTTATGTAGTAGACCATGGTTGTCTTTAGCAGCAACGCATCGCTTTCGTCCACTAATTACCTTAGGTGAAGAAAGACCCATACTAGGCCACAATCATAATTTTCCTTATCTCAAGTTGGGGCTAATATTCCTGCTGAAAGATTTTAGAAAATTATGACTTGCATCACTGATTCTCATAAACTGGTGAGGTAGCCTTCTTTCCAGGTAATCTTCACTGACGAATCAAGTTATAGTTTCATCCACAAATACAGGAAAAACATGGGTGAAATACATCGCACGAAGGTAAGCTTCAGTGGTTCCTAACCTTTTTTTTTGCTTTTTGGGGGTTTTTCCGCAAAAAAAAACAGGGCTAAAGACAGCTCCCGTCTGAAGCCTAGGAACACGAAAAGTTGTACAATTGTTGGAATAATATGGACCTTATCAGCACTATCACCAACCATGCTATCATGTCGTATGTCATTATTCCCCATGAGTCAGGTTTGTTTCGCCGCACCTTTCGAGCAGCTCTCGGCCCAAGCCTACGGATATTGCTTTTTTTATATGAGGGAATTAGACTCATGAGCCATGGGATACTTAGTATGTAATTTTTGGACTTCCTGTCTTCCAATTGAATGTATATTTTTCATACAAAAAAACAGGAACTGCTCTCATCACTAATGTTGTTATTTCGTAGCAATCCTGAGGATTCAGCCGACCCATGATTCCTCTAACATTCTTGTCATCCTCCTCTACTTACAGTCCTTTTTCAATGGCGGCTGGAGTTGACAATGACAAGGACTTCCTACATAGTGACACCCTACCAAATTTTCTCCTCGAAACTACGAAAATGTGGCGAGGAGGAGTGCATAGGTACCTGAAAGAAAACAGTAAAGCAGCAAATTTGGTGCTGTTCACTATTCCACACAATTTTTATTCCCTTCGAACCAGTTTCACGCGTCGCGTTCATCGTTTTTTTTTTCAAAAACTGGTGACCCTCTTTCCTAGCGTAGTCTCGATGCGACCCCGCGCCACCATAGTCAACCTCAGAAGGCTCCCCTCGAACGACCCTCCTCCTCTCTACCCGACCACCATCCTCGCCACGTGGCTGCTCCTTTATTAATTGGTTCTGAGACCAATCGACACAGCCCAACTCCGCTCGTGTTTTCCTTCAAGACGGTCGACGAGTCGAGCAAGGGCATAGGGTTTTCACCTTGTCCGCCCGCTTTCGCTAAAAGTCATCAAAAAAAAACCCGCGATGACCTCCACTCCTACAAACACAACCCGTTCAACTTCCACGGATACGACCACTCCGCACTTGTTCCAAACAGGATTAACCTTGCTTAACCCCAAAGCGAGCCCACTCCAAAATACAACTGCGACCCCCTTTCGAATAGTGGCGAGCCTCACGGACCGTGTCTCAACTCGCGTGAAAGCTATTCGATAATCAACTTTATATCCAGATGCACCCTTCAACCATGCATATGCGACCTGTGTTGAGATTCCTTGCGCCCATGACTCCCCTGATTGTGGGCATTTTATCATACACAAACTCCTTTGTACTTCAAATCACAATGCTACAAAGGCGATATTGTTGAGACGACCATATCATTCAGTGTGTAGAGGATATGACCCTTTCAATCGATAAGATCAGCATGGAGAATGTACATAATTTGGTGATGCACCTTAATTCAAGATACCCCTAATTCACACTCTGAAAGATCTTCCGCTCTCACGTCATTTGGATGCTGCGACTAAAATCATCGAAGACGAGCACAATAACGACAAACTGTGGCGGTCGATTTGGGATCCAGCGATGAAAGACCACCCGGAAGCGCGAAGTGCCGAGTACGATGTGCTCGTCAATTCAAAAACCTATTTTCTGCTCGACGCCGTTTCCGTTCTATTTTCTCTACAATGCAACCGTGAGTAGTAACATTCAAACTCAAAGTGATATGAGGCTGACCGCTTGAAATGAAAAAGAAGAGGTTTTCAGCTGGAGGATCCATTCTCGACTGAATTTTTCGTTTGGATCGATGCCGGTTACGGACACGGCAATCAAAGTGTCTTCCCATACAACAACAAATGGAAACCGCAATTCCCTCACAACAAGATTTCCGTAATTAAGGTTGGTAAGCTGGAAGTTTTGGCACTGATACATAAAAGGGCCAGGATAGAACTAGGCTAGGGCAACGAGAAGGCACTTGGAAGATACAATGAAAACCCAAGCACAAACTGGGAAAAGTGAATGCCGTAAAGATTCGACACACCTGGATTAACGTTTATTTCAACATCATATTCGCTATCTGTGAGGAACACTATAGTGCTCCCGGGCGCTCATGTCACTGCGCGAGGGGTGGGGGTGGAGGTAAGCAAACCAGCCCTTTTGGCGTTTCGGCTGGGACCGTATGCTGAATGTTGGGGAGGGGATGGGGTCCCCAACGGTCGACGGTTTACTTCAACTCGGTTGGTACGATAGGAGAGTACTGACGCAAGTGGTGCAGCTGGTCCAGCAGCTCCGCCAGAAGGGCTGGTTTGCTCACCCCAGGACTAAGCCTTGGAGAGGGGACGGACCCGTCCTCTCTTTAAGGCTTAGTTCTGAGGTGAGCACCAAATTGTGGCGGTTCTAAGGACCGAGTTGATGAAGTGGTCCGTCCCCTTCCCAACATTCAGCATACGGTCCCAGCCGATGCGCGAAAAGGGCTGGTTTGCTTACGTCGGTGGAGGGAACATTTAGCTGACTGAGTCATTCACAATACTTGGATGTGAGCCTCAAGAGAGGCGCTGGGAAAAAGTTAGATGAGATTTGTGCAGCAATATTTTTGTTCACTCGGATGCTTCTCCTCTCCCCTGGGCCTAGTCCTAGTGTCACCTAACATGGGCCCTGTTTTGAATGTCCACTCCCTCGGCCCCCAAGGGCATGAACAGTCCGTAAAGCCATGTTTTCTTCCGTCGATAGTAGTACCTGTATCACGTAGTAACATGAATTGCGCTTCACTTCCACTGCTCACGAGAACAGGCGCTCACGGCCTAATTAGAATCCCGCGCGAATGATCATTAAGATCGGAATAGAATAACCAGTTTACTTGGATTGATTATACTTCCACACGTATTGCACCTAACGTCCATACTATTCGGTTCAGCTGACACCGGTGCACGATTCAATTGCCGGCTACAATATTGGCAGTCTATACCGCCGCAACTGGTCGGTGATTTCAGGAGGCTTCATTGCAGGAGACAAGCGGTAAGTCTGTTTTGGGCCAATGAGCTGTCCATTTTGATCGAATTTAGCATGACAAGCTCCAGTGAGATTAAAGATTTCGTGATGTAGATTCCAGAGCGATTCAATGACCAGCCTACAAATAACTTTTTACTAACAGTTCTGTTAAGGAAGTAAAGTATTTTAGCTATCCAAATTTCAGGTCGATAGGGCAGCTTTACACTCTTGTTCATAGGAAATTCATCGAGTTAACATATCATAACAAGGTGGACGATGATCAGGTAAGTTCTTCTTCAAAATAAGCACAAAAAAGGCTTAAGGGGATTTACGACTGAAACTTAACTACAGTACGTTCCCTGGTTAGTACCATTTCAAAATCCAGTTACGACGTTCCTAATCATGTTTTCCTACGCACACGCCACACCATTTTCCTCGAACGGGTCCAAGCCAACTGCATTGCAGCTTTTAATAGGCTCACTTTTTTGGCTTCCCTAGCTGTCGCGAAACGAATTGGATAGGCCGACTCTTTAGATTTCAGCATTCGATTCATTGGCTGCTTACTGTATGTATGTTACCAGAAGGCCCGACACTGATTCATTTGTTAAGTAGTCTGCGGGGTGCTACAGTGCATTAAATAGATGACTCCAATATCATGGAAAAATCAGACTGAATATAATGACACCTGAATAAGGACAAATTCTCAGCCGAGTAGAAATGCAATAAAAAAGCAAGAATTTTTATATGAATGAGAATTCGTAATCAATCTGTAATCACAATCACAATATAGTATTAGCCCTTTGCGGACTGCCGTTATGCATGCACATCCTTGGGTTTTCTTTTTCACTAGTAGCCGAAAATCAGTCTATCAGTAGTTTTACCAGTATCCAGCCACATACAGCGTAATTAAGCTCGATTAAGCTTGCTAATGAAATCGTTGCTCA